AAAACGCAGCTGGGTGTCGCGACGCCGTGCGGCATCATCACTGCGGAAGAGAACATAATGTCGCGGCCGCCCGAGGCCAAGGGGCCAGGGTGGCCCAGCGACTACTCGGCCTTCAGCTTGTCCAGGTTCTGCAGGATCTCCAAGGCCTGCGCATTCGTGAAGACATCCGGAAAAGACGGATCTGGGGCCGTGCGCGGCTTGTCTTTTTTAAGCTTTTCCAGGTTGACTGGCTTGTACTCGCGCATCTCCACGTCGAGTTTGTGTAGAATGTTGACGAAGTGCACGTGCGCTGCATCCTGCAGAAGAGGCCGGCGGATCATGAAGAGGGACTTAGGGCCGGAAGTGTTCACGGACATGAGCGCATTCCCCAGGCGCATGTAAATGAGCAGGGCACCCACGCGACCGAAGTAGTTGTCCCAGTCGTCGGAAGGCACGTCGTTCAAGATCTCTTGACAAGCAGGCATGTGCCGCAGTTGGCTGGCAAGAGTCCAAGGCGAGGTCTGCGTCAAAACCACCTTGGCCAAGCGCAGAAGTCGAGAACGCTCGGGACCACACTGGTTCACGAGAACGGCAACGTCGGTTTTCAGCACGTCGCGTAGCTTGGCACCCGTGCCGGAGTTGCCAGGCCCACCTCCCGGAGTTTCCCCAACCAGATTGCGGAAGAACTGCCCAAGCTGGTCACCAACCACATCGAGATAGTGACCAAATGTGTCGCCAAAGCGCAGCGCCTTGTCAGACAGCACGAGGCTCCAGTCCCCGGGCGCACGCCCGAGACGCGCTTGCTCGCGAAGATGCACTTGAAGACCGAAACGCAAATTGGCGGTCTTCAGCTTGCCGTGGGCCTTCGCAAGGGTGTGGTTGGTGAGGTAGTTCTGCTCCTGGCTAACGACATGTTTGTCGAAAGTGGCGTCGAAGAGAGGCACAGCATCTGCGTGGAGTGTGTACGCGCGCAAGGGATAGTCTTTCGGGAACTCGAACAAGTCTCGCGGAGTGTGATCTAGCGAGTGGGCACGGTGAATGGGAAGGAACTTGTCCACGAGGTCGGCGAGGAGCGTGCGCCTGGGATTATGGGCAGCATTGGCCTCGCGCAACTCTGCAGCACGCTTGAAGCTTGGTCGAGTGTACAGGAACTTGGCACGACCGCGTAAGCCCAAGGGGTCTTGCTCGCAGAACATAAAGGCGATGTCCTCCAAGTGAACGGCTCCAGACATCGCGAGGAAGGGATACGGAATTTCAAAGGAACGAGTTCCATCCAGCGTCGTCCTTTTCCATTTAGCGCGCTCATAGAGCTCCACCACGATGGAAGAATTCAACGCTCCTTCCTGATGCAGCCAGGCGAAGAAGCGAGAGCCCTCGGCAGCAAAGGCGCAGGAGCGCCCCAGATTGCGACGCAAAGCGGCCTGCTTCCCCTCACCTTCAAGGGAGCCAGAGCCCATCGTCATATTGACGACCCCTTCGTACGGGTTCTTGGCGGAGGCAGCCGCATCAGCATGCGCACGCTTCCATTCCGCGGACTCCTGCGTTCGCCATTGATTGACACGAGTCTCCAGCACGTCGAAGGCGTCTTGGTACAGACGCAACAAGCCAGAGGTCTGCGTCGACCCTGGGTGCAAAAGAAAGGGCCAAGTGAGCGGGTAGATGGCGATGGTGTTGACCGGATAAAGGCACGCAGTGGGCGCCAGAAAGCCGGCAAGGGTCATCTCCAGCAGTGCGACCCATGGCCAGGGCACGGACTCCAACTTAGCAATGACCTCCCACTCGGCAACCAGCTCGGGCATGAGGGCACGCAAAGCCTCGTCGGGGAACGGCAAGGCCTCGAGCTCCAAGAAAAACTTGTTCACGGCGTCACCGGTGCGCAATTTGCGCAGCACATCCTGCAGCGTGGAGGGCTGCGGGGGCATGGCGTGGAGCGCAAGAAGGGAAGCACCGAAAGATTGGTGTTCGCGATGAACGCACTGAACTGCAGACGGCCGCAGCAAACAACGGAACTCGAAAAGCCTTCAAGCAAGCGCTAAGTGAGGCAGCAAACACGGTCCAACATCTTTTTGCAGAACACAGATACGGTCACTCATTCGGCGGAGGCCGCCGC